ACACTTCCAAATTTTAACAAAATCACTTTTTAAGTCATTTAAAATATACATATATTTTATTATACATAAAATAATCAAAATTTCTATGACTAAAACTTTTATTTTGTGTAATAAGTTTAGAAAGAGGAGTCATTTAAAATAGGGGTTTTTTTTTTAGGGTCCTTGGTATTAAGATTTTATAGCATAAAGGACATCTAATATTTTCATAATGTCTGAGGTCTCTCAAATTGATCCAGAGAAATTTCATCCAGAGAATTTCTCTGAACTTCCCAGAGAAATTCTATCTAGAGAAACTCTTTGCAACCCAGAGAAATTCTCTATTTTTCTTCAGAGAAATTTTGATAACTGAGAAAGAATTGAGAAATTTTGATAACTGAGAAATTCTATTAGGTTGGGCAGATCATGCAGTTAACTTCTAGAAAGAACTGACAGCATTCATATGCTGAAGATACAAGGCAACCAATAGACCTTGCCAGGTTTCTCCAGGTACACCAGCCACTTAAAAGTCAAGAAGCTTCTTCTGTTTTTTGCACTAAGAAGTTAGCACATAACATAATGTCATTGGATTATCTTTTTCTTTTTCTTTTTTTTAGATAACTGAGAAAGAATTGATCTTAGGCAGGAGCACTCCAAGTGTGCAAACTCGGGATAACATAGTCTTATTCGGTTATCTAATACATAATTATTGGGTGGATGGACTTGTTGAACTGATTAGTTAGACAAAAAATTGTACAGTTTGGACTCTCTCTTCCTTGTCCTTTTACTGGTACAAAAGAAAGAAAGAATCGAAAGGATTGAAATTTCAATTCCTAATTTCATTCATACGATTGAATTTTGGATTTGTCGAAGAAAAGAAACAGGGGACGGAAAAAGATTTTTAAATTTTTTTGGTTGGGTAACGTTATGAAAATGATTGAAAATATAATGTTAGGTCTTGTAAAGCATCGTGAATTTGTAAGTCTAGTTTGTTGTTACAGTGTGCTGCTACTCTTTTGTAAGCTAATAAAATGTTAGTTATGCTACTAGCACATTAAAAATGAGGAATGAATTCAGAAGAGAAAAGAGAACTGCAATTTTCTTTGGTTTGATCAATTTTCTCTGGTTGAGTCTTACCTGATCCAGAGAAAATTCAAAAGCACTCCAGAGAAATTCAAATTTTCTCTCCTTTGTTCTTACCTGATCCAAAGAAACTCAAAAATTTTCTACTTTGTTCTTACCTGATCTAGAGAAAATTTAAACCACTCCAGAGAAATTCTTTCATCATCATCATCATCTTTCTACATCAAATAAGCAGTTGTAGCAGCACCATGAAAGCCATAAAAGCAACATAAATGAGAGAGAGTGAGAGAAGAGCAGCGAGAGAGAGAAAAATTTTCTGTAGTGGTTTAAATTTTCTCTGGATCATGTAAGAACAAAACAAAGAAATTTTGAATTTCTTTGGAGTATTTTGAATTTTCTCTGGATTAGGTAAGAACAAAGCAGAGAAATTTTGAATTTCTCTGGATCAAATAAGAACAAAGTAGAGAAATTTTGAATTTATCTGAATCGGGTAAGACTCAACTAGAGAAAATTGAGAAAAAATTCAAAATTCAAAGAACGGAGCGAGAGAAGTAGCTCTGGGGATGATTTGGGTTTTTGGGTGGGCAAGCACTGGGCCTATGATAATGAGACAGAGGAGTTTCAACAATGGAAGAACAACACTTTGAATGTTTTTCCCTCCCGATTTTAAGTCTGCTGCATGAGTTTGATCAAAGAGGAATCCCATTATCTAATTGTTTTGCAAGATTAAAAAAAACAAACACAAAGAAGCTTCCAAGCAATTTCACAGACCTTCTATGCAACAAAAATTAGATTACAACATGGGTTTCATAGATTTTCAACTTTCCAACATGGGTTTCATGGATTATCATAATATCATAAACAAAAACAACATAATCAATCAAACACAAGGAAAATTCTCCAAAATTTCACAAACCCAAATAGAATCCAAGAAATCCCCAGAATTGGGATTCAAATACCCAATATAGAAATCACCAAAACGATGGGTTTTTTCACAAAATTTCACGTATATGAATTGAAAGTAAAAATCAATTATAGGTGACTCAGATTCTTAGAATTTCCAATTCCAAAGTGAGACAAGAACAGAGTGATCTCGTCTTTGAAATCGACGAGAGAGAGAGTGAGAGAAGAGCAGCGGAGAGAGAGATAGAAAGCGTGAGATATATCAAATTTCTCCGTGATAGATGGGTGTTGGGTTTAGGGATCTTAGACATCAAAAAATAATATTGTAGATCTCTTCCATTACTAAAAATGGGAGCAGGACCTTAGACTAATTTTCCCTTTAAAATATACATATATTTTATTATAAATAAAATAATCAAAATTTCTATGACTAAAACTTTTATTTTGTGTAATAAGTTTAGAAAGAGGTATCTTGACATGATCATCAAGTAATTCTCTCTCTCTCTCTCTCTCTCTCTAGGCCCTATTTGGAAATTGAATATTTTCATTCATTTTTTGACTTTTTACAAAAAGGTATGCATAAAAGTAAAGAAAATGATGTGGTAATTTATAGTGACTTTTTAATTTTTTGGCTAAAAATTACACTCCCCAAATGGGCCCTAAATATATGAAGTAGATGTTTAACGAATTTGATTTAGAGATCAATGTAAACCTAAGTATGAAAACTTGCTTTCTTTCTTTTTGGAAAGGCGAAGTTTGAGATTGAAGTCTTATTAAAATTTTGTCAAATATGTTATTATTAAAATGTGACAATGTGACATTATTTTAATATGTGCATTATTGTCCTTTTACGTTTTCAAATGTGGGTATGCTTCATTTGTGAGATTATAATGTGAAATAAGACTTATGGATTCATAAGAATATTTATGGGACTAAATGGTTCATAAGTCAGGGACATAAGACTTATTGGTAAATGCCCCAAAACTTGATTTATTTATAAATTTATAAGAAATTAATTTGTCTATGGAGATAATATATAGGGAATGCCTTTGCAATCATGTAAAACCTCAAGGGGGGCCAAGGTAATTTACCGCTTAACTTATGCATTGCTACAAATGGATGGTCAAGGGCATTTTTGATAGTTTTATAATTAAGATAGCTGACATCATCTTATTTCGTTAGGTATTTTATCAGATATGCAACGGAGGGAAAATTTTGACAATAGTTTTAGAAGTAAGGGGAGATTAGTGTAATTATTGAAACTACATGAAAGGCCCCTGTAACTATGCAAAATATCAGGAGAGGTAAGTGTTATTTACCCCCAAAAAAATCTAGCATAAACCCTAATTCTATCCCCTCACCTCTCTATCCCATTGCAAAAAAATTGGTCAATTTCACTATTACCATTAATGGTGATTGATGGACTCTAAAGTGAGAACGAGTGTATGAAATGTAAAAAGATAGGACAATTTGGTCATTTCACTAGTTACGTTAATAACATTAAGGAGTATGTGATAGTTTGATAGTTAAAGGGTTTAATTGTACATTTTTATAGTTTATGGAGTAAAGTGATACTTCATAATAGTTCATAAGGGTAAAATTAAAGTTTATGATATATAGACACTATAACAAGTAAGAGTTTTTTTAGGGACTGTACTTTTTTTATCTTCAAAAGTGAAATTTGTGTTGCAAAAAATATTTGGGAACCTATTTCTGTTGTCACAAAGATAGCCTTGCTTACAATTTTCATTAGACAACAATGACTTAAAAATTTATAAAAAAAAATAATTATCTAAAAGTTAGGGGAATGATGTTTTTACTTATACTATTAGGAGTGTCCATGGGCTTGATGACACACCTAACCCAACTTAATATTTCAGAGCTTGGGAAGATATTTAGTTCACAGGGCTTGGTTGGACTAAAATTTTCAGTCTATTTTATTTTAGGTCTGGACTTGAAATAAAGAGTCTCAGTCCAGACCGGCCCGGTCATTTATAAAATATTAATTTTAGATTTTATAATATTTAATTACAAAATAAATTAGAAAAATAATAAAAGATTAAAAAAAAATATATATATATATATTCTTTATAGAGCTTAAATTAAAACATTCCTTAAAAAATCATATTTATTTTATATAATTGAATTTTATTAATATTCTAAATTTAAATATTTATTAAAAGAGTCTAAATATGTTTTGGTGTTGGTCAGAATATGTTTGGATGGTGTTCATGGTAGCCAATTTAGTACATTTGCTTCTATGATTGTGGCTGTGTTTTGCTCTACTTTGATTTTTAAATCTCTTTGTTTGTTCGTTTATGTTTGTTTTGTTTTGTCTTGGCTGAATGCTAGTGTATGATTGGACGAACATGTTCACTGCCAACCTAATTGGGTTCGGACATTCACTATGTTGCTTTTTGTTTTAGCTTTTTATCTGTTGATAAAGCATTTTATTTGTTGATAAATTATATTTATTATATCATGCACGTGTTCATCAATAAAGATTTTTTTTTTTAACTGATAAAAAAATTTAAATAATTTAGTAGCCCTTCGTAATAAAAAATAAAACAAAATAAAAAACTTATATATATTAATTTAAATAGCCAAGTTTAAAATTTAGACATTTTTATAACATCGAACATGAAATGGTTAAGGCTTGGTTTGGCAAGTAGGTTTGGGGGGTTAGGGATTAAAATAGTCACAAAAAATAAAATAGGCTATTTTAGTCACAAAAAACAAAACATCAAATCCAACCCATAATCATTACAATCCTCTCTCTCACAAAAAAAGTCAAAAATCCTTCCCAAATCAGACTAAAATAGTCCAGGTTAAAATAGTTAAAAAGTCAAAAAACCAACCCACTTTCCAAACAGAAGCTAAATTAGGCCTAATTTCAGGCTGAACCGGGACTCAGAAGGATGGGTATAGTCTTTGTAATGTTGGGCTGACCGACTCCGATCTTTGTCCGCTAGTACAGGCACAATGTTGGGCGAATTTTTAATTTTACAACTTTACAGGCCCTTGATGGTAATTTTCCAACGCCTATAAATAGCCAAGCCCTAATGCCCCTACTGCCCTAATTACCCATTCGCCTTTTCCAGACAGCGCTCTTTTCTCTCTCGAGCAAAACAGCATAGAAACGGCGAAAAAGAGGAATTAGGGTTTTCTTGATTTACCTCTAGGGTTTCAGGTTTCTCCCCTCAACTCTCTCTCTGTTGCTCGTTTTTGTTTTTTTGTTTCTCTATCTTCTGTGTGGTGAGATGTTCTGTATTGTTTCTTTTAGATTTTAAACGCTACAAGATTTGTCCTTTTTAGGAATTCATATCTAGATCCTGGTCAAACATAGCGGAATCACATATTTTTCATGTATTTTGTTTTGGTTTCGTATGTTTCGAGTTTTTACTTCCTTAGGGCATGGACATTGCCAATTTATTACGCGATTAGTCTCTTGTACTATGTATTTGATTTTCACATTACGGTCGCTCTGATTTTAATTATACTTTGTGCTCTCATGATTACATATTAGCTCAATTTTGTCGATTGTCACGATTAGGCGTGCTTTCTTTGGCCTAAAATATTCTATGTTATCAAATTACAATTTACAAATAAAATCTTGTTTGAAAAATTTATTTATTGTTTAACGCACAAACCCGAAAGATCTGTCTTTTCTAGTTGCTTTGTAGGCACAAAATCTGTTAAAAAACTGTTTTTTGGTAGTTTGCCTAAGGTATCATAAAGCAATCTTTGTGTCATTTATGTCTTGAAGAGCAATATATGCACACATATGCACTTTATATTTGTTTATTTGCATTGTGGAAATTTTGACCGAGCTTGCTAGCTTATGGGTAACATTTGAAATTATTCTTTGTGGTATTTGGGTCTCACAACTAAAATCTTGTTTGGAAAAATTATTTTTTAAGGCACAAACCCAAAAAAACCTTTCTTTTCTAGCTGGTTTTTAGGAACAAAATCTGCTAAAAAACTGTTTTTTGGTAGTTTGCCAAAGCTAGTGTAAAGCTCTAATTTTTGTGTCACGTATGTCTTGATGAAGTGAAATATATGCACATTTATACACTTTATATTTGTTTATTTGCATTGTGGAAATTTTGACCATGCTTGCTAGCTTATGGGTAACATTTGAAATTATTCTTTGTGGTATTTGGGTCTCCTTTTCCCCCGGTGTCTTTTCTTCCTTGTGTAAACTGTTTTGAGTGTGTGTTTTAAGGTACAGTAGAAGATGTCTCGTGTGTATGTTGGAAATTTGGATCCACGGGTCACTGAGCGAGAACTTGAGGATGAGTTTCGTGCATTTGGAGTTATACGAAGGTAAAACAATTTTGAGTTACTGTATTCCCTTTAACTTATCATTCGGTTGGCCTTATAGTGAATGATTAAATGTTAGTCTATACAATTCTGCTTCAGCGTGTTGTTTTTTCAATCATAATCAATCATCTGTGTATTTTTTATTTATAATTATCTTGCAATAATAGAAAATGCGCTTTACAAAGTTAAAATATTATGAAGTTGACACTAATATCTTAGTATATTTAATATTTATATAAAAACTTCAAACACAATGTTTTACCTTTAAAATCTCTCTCTTGCTTTTTTAATCCTGGATTTTTCTCTGTTAGCATATATACACACACACATTCGTGCACATCTATATCTATATATCTATAATGCAAACACTTGCGCTGGTATAATTGTCACAATTTTTTTAATTCCTAAACTACCCTTCTTCCATGACTACCCAATTCAAATACACACCCATGGGCCCTTTGTAATTGCAAATTTGTAACTGCAAAGTTCAAGCACAACCACATTGGTGTGCACACCATCTAGTATCTATTTATGAACACACAAAAACATAATATTCAAGTTTCTATAAATACGGGTGATGTGATGTTGACCCAGATCATAAGGTTCAATATTTTTATTTGAAATACATAACTATATACGTGTATATAATTATCTAAAAATTATATGACATTTTTCTTTGGTTACCACCGAAGAATGTCTTTGAGGAAAATTTTCATCTATTACAAAATGAGTTCAATAAAGTAAACGGGTTGGTCGGGTTGATTTGTCCACCCCATACCCAAATTAACACAACCCGCTTAAACTAGTTTATGGGGGTTTGGATAAAGTTATTTTAATACATAACGTGTTTTGACTTGCTTGAACCCTTCTAAACCTGCTTATTTGCTAAGAATTTCATGTATATGTTATATTTTAGACATGTAACAATGTTTTACAACTTGTCAGGTGCTTATCGTCACTAGTTAGGTGGTGGTGGTTGATAAACTAAACGCTGAGTAGAGAAAAATTCATTTTATCCCCATGTGGTTTTGAACTAAATTGTAATCATTAACTCCGTTAATTACAATTGTGAAATAATTGTAATACTCTCAAGTCCTATGCCTTTTTTTGTTATTTTTTTATTTTATCTTTCCTCTCCCTCATTCACATAAGTTATAATTTTTTTTTTTTTGGATAAATAACATGAATTATTATTCTTAACAATAATTCAATTAAATTAAACAAAAATTCTTAATTATTTTTTGTAATTTTAACTTTTTAACCTAATTCTAATTTAATTATACTTTAGATCACAGCTAATCTTAAATCTTTAATTATTTATTGTAATTCGTAACATCTCAATTTAATTCTAATTTAAGCCTCGTTTGGGAACATGTTTTTTTAGTAATTTTTTGATTTTTTGACTAAAATATGATGTAAAATAATTAATATGTTTGGGATGATTTTTTGAATTTTTACGAAAAGATGTGTAAAAAGTAGAGAGAAAAGGGGATCTTTGACTTTTTGGTATAGGTGGTTAGCTTTTAGGCTAAAAAGTGTTGTTGCCAAACGAGACCGTAATTATATTTGAGATTAGTTCTTTATTAATTATTTATTTTATATTTTAATTTAGTTCTTTATTAATTATTTATTGGGCGTCGGGGAACTCTTTGTTTAAAGGATTTCCACTCTTTTTGTTAGCTAGAGATTGGTTAGCGGTGTGTGCTTTGTAAGCTTTTGATTGTTTTTAGTCGGTTAGGAGCTTTTTCTTACTGTCTTCTCACTGTTTTGTATTCAGAGGATGCCTCATCCTCTTTTCTCCTTTTTCAGTTTTATTAATAAAGTTTTTGTTGTTGATAAAAAAAAAAATATGTACAAGATGAAATTTGAAAATTATTAATTTTGAATTTCTCTTCCAATTCTTAAATTGTGGTGGTGGAGGCGGCTGCAACAGTGGTGCCAATGGCAATAGTGGTGGAGATGGATGGATATTGGTTGTGGTTATGCTGTAGGTAGAGGCGTGGCGGCGGCGGCTTGTGGAGAGGTGGTTGTAATGGTAGCAACAATCAAGGTGGTGGTGGTAAATGTGCCAACGATGACAATGGTGGTGGTAGTGGTAGTGGTAGTGGTAGTGGAGGTGTTGTAGTTGTGGTGGCGTGATGGTAGTGGTGGCGGTTGCGATGGCGGGGCCGGTGGTGGGAATGCAGTAGTTGTGGTGAAGTCATAACGGTGAACATCAATGCTTATGCATAAGCAATTTTAAATGCAATCAACCTTAAGTGTAAAATCCCGCTACTTCAAACATTCTCAACTTTTAGCCTACATTCTAGCAGTTGCTTGAATTTGTAAGTGATACGAATTGTGGTTATCAAACAAACTTCGTTTATTTTCACTCAATACATTCTGTTTTAAATGTTGAAATAGATTAGTCTTTTCAACTCGTTAGTGAAATTGAAGATTTCATTAAAAATATATTTGAATTGACAAATTACTGTTTAATTTTAATTTTCAACTTCAAATCTTATGTTCATATTCAGCAAACAAATTCAGTGCCAAATTTTTAATATTATCAAACCTCCATTATGGTTGAAAGAATACAAAAACTTCTAAGAATTTGGTGTAACTTCCAAGAATATGAATTGGCATGTTTAACTACCAGGATGATCAAGCCAATATGTCTTGCTGTCAGTTCTTGTTCAAGAGAATGTTTTGTTTCATTTTCAGAAGCTGTATTCTGAAAAATATTAAGAGTAATTTGTTGAAAATAAACCACCAAAAGATGTCTTTGAATTTATACAAAACAATTTTTTGTACAAAAAAGAAAATAATATGAAAATAATAGAGGCATTGAATTTTCATTATTTTTTCACCAAATTAATTTTTAGTGTTTTCCAAGAAGTAAATTTTGAAAACAAAACCAGAGGGTTCTCAACTAAGAAGCATGGACACGGACACGTGACACGACACGAGTACGACCCGGACACGCTGACACGTTAATTTTCAAAAAATGTAGGACACAACACGTGAGGGACACGCATGAAATATGTAATTTTATATATATATTATATGTTATATATATGAATATATCATTAAAAAGATAATAAAAAATACAATATGATACTAATTCTTATAAATTTATATAGTTTTTGTTTTATTATTGTATCTTAAGTTGTTTTGTTCAAACTTATAATTAATTTCACATATGTCTAATCGTTGGACACTTGTATTTAAGCGATGGACACGTATGTCCTTCAAGTGTCCAAAGAGTATCAAAGTCTTTAAAAAAATTTAAAAAATAGGACACGTTTTGAAGAGTGTCGGACACGTGTCCTGAGAGTGTCCAAAGAGTATCGGTGTCCGACACGGATACGACACGAATACGTCACCTTCTTAGAAGTGTCCGTGCTTCTTAGGTTCTCAACAACACTTCTGATGAGAAGACATTGATGAATTGGCTTATAACTTTGGTGTTTTTTTTGAATATTTTACATGCAGTGTTTGGGTAGCTAGAAGGCCACCAGGTTATGCTTTTATCGACTTTGACGATCGTAGGGATGCGACGGATGCAATTCGTGAACTGGATGGTATGTATTATGAGAGGTGTTCATTTCATTTTTTAAAGGAGAAGTAATGTCTATGAAGTTTCAATTTTATATGCATTTCTTCATGACATTTTTGACCAACAGGAAGTCATCTTCTTACATCTTCCTTTGCCATCCTTTCCTTAAGATGATCATCAGAAAGTTTTGCCTGTTTTTCTAGTCTTTTTAAAGATCTTTCTTCTTCGTCATTAAAAATTGTCCATTTTCAATAATGAGAGAGAGGTGCTTAGATGTTCTAATAGGATTCCTTGCCGTAAATTTTTTTGGTTTCTTCAATTCACTTAATAAAGTGGTTACATTTCATGGTAGTGCTATTGACTATGTTACACTATGTTACGTTTTTGTCCATTTCATGTCTTGCATTTTTTTGTAAATTGTTGTGTTGGCGCGTGCCTGTATCGTGTACATGTATACTCTTCTTAGTTGCCTAGGCTCCTTATTTTTCACTCATTTAAGTAGTCAATTTGTAAAATTCCCATTTTGTTTAAGAAACCGCTTCCATATTTGTAGCCAAGTTACAAATTTACCTTTTTCCTTCTGTTTAATTTTCAAATTTAACAATCATTTGCTTCTATGTTTTCTCCCCTCTTCAAAAGGCATGGTTTAGTTAGTTTTTTTTATGTTTGTTTCCAAAATTTCTTTGTAAGTAGTTGCATATCATTCATGCAACAGGTAAGAATGGCTGGAGAGTTGAGCTGTCTCACAACTCTAGAGGTGGAGGTGGAGGCGGAGGTGGAGGTGGTGGCGGTCGTGGAGGGGGTCGGGGTCGCTCTGGTGGTTCTGACTTGAAGTGCTATGAGTGTGGTGAGCCCGGTCATTTTGCCCGTGAATGCCGCATGCGTGGGGCTTCTGGAAGACGACGTAGTCGCAGCCCCCAAAGGTATCGCAGGAGCCCAAGTTATGGACGTAGGTGAGGTCATTGAACAATAAATTTTCAGTTTATTTGATTTTTTTTCCCCCAATTTTTTTAATTTACTTTGGTTTGGCTGTATTGGTATCTGAGTGATACATCTGTGTTGGACTCGGTGATCTGACAGATGTGCAGATTAGTTTTTAACTTGATTGGAACTGATGTACTTATTCTTTTACTGCTTTGGTACATCGGACCAGGAGTTACAGTCCACATGGGCGATCTCCTAGACGTCGCAGTTTGTCACCTCGTGGACGCAGCTATAGCAGGTCACCACCACCATATCGTGGACGTGAGGAGTTGCCATCTGCCAACGGGTGAAGTTCCTTTACCTTGAGTTTTTTCTTAAATTGAGTATAAAATGTTTTGAAATTGGAGTTTGCATGACTTGTGTTGGGATGAATTCAGATAACAATAATCTTTGTGTCATACATCAACCTTTTTCCCCGATGATGGTGGAAACTCAGTTGTTTATCACGTGAAACATTTTGGTATAGTTATTGCTGTATGAAATGTTTTCCTCCTTCCAATCTATAATATTTTCTGCTACACCATTGATTTAAACTATTGCATAAATAATATCACATAATGTTCCCAAAGTTCAAATAATGTGAGGAGGTTGTCAAAATTCCAAGTTTTCCAAAAAGCTTTATTCATTTGGTGTACAACGGTTGACAGTTAACGGTTGACAGTTACACCCACCGTTTGGTTGCTGGATGGGTGTAAGTTCAGGTTTTCTTCCTTAACTATGTGTTGCATGCAGAAAAATTGATCTTACTAATCCCGAACCTTAATATTTTACATCTCTCAATGTGATTCTGCAAACTGTACTCTCTCTTCCCTCCCCTTCTAAGCCTCCACACACCCACGGAAAAGAGTTTATGCTTGTGCCTGCATCCAAGCATTCTAATTTGGCATGACAGTCGACACTACACCCTCTGTTGGGTTGCTTGAATGGTTTGCAACAGACACATGGGTAGGTAGATACTGTAGACCACATAGCTTGCTGTATTGGCCTCCCAAGGATAAATGATTGTGTCTTGTTCACATCTTTTTACTCTCTTAAGAAAGATATACTGGCATGATCAATATCATTCATTGAACTTCAATTTAATGCAGAAATGGTCTTAGGGATCGCCGCCGAAGCAGGAGCTAAATTGCAGACTGGGAATTTCACTTTATTGAGGGCTTTCAGATGATTGTGTGTGTTTACTACTATGCTTGGACTTTGTTTAAGTGGGGTGACGCCCTCAGATTCGACTCATGGATTTGGTTAAGTTTCTTTCTTACTTTTATTATTAAGTTTGTTAATTTTCTTTTCCTTCTGCCTATGCACCATAGTTGTTCTTTTATAGGCAATGGATCTTAAGGTAGCTACTATAAATTTATAAAAGATAAAAAATTGAAAGAACTCTGCTAAAATGTTTATGCTTTTTTGTTTTTGTGTCGAGGTGTCTTCCTGGTTCTGCTTCATTGGTTTTGTGCACCTACTACTCTCTGTGGTTTCTTCGTTCCTTGCTGCCCTGCCCTGCTCTGGGATCTTCAATTTTGAATGATTGTGGGTCCCAGCTGGCTACGTTACTAGATGCATGCTTCTCTGTGATTGAATTTCTGCGGCAGTGATGCGCCTCCCTCAAAACTGTAGTGGCATTTCTTTTAGATACTTGTAAGGATTGAGGAGCTGCTTCAATCTGTTCTTCTGGCAGGTATTTAATCTGTTCTACAGAAGTTGGGGATTAGGCGTTCTTGGTTCTCCTTATACTAAAAAGGGATTTGAGTTTATTGGAACTTCACTCCTGGACAAGGGTATTTGAAAAATAATTTGAGTGTTGACTTGTGGGTAGTGAGGTGGGGTATGAAGGGCATGGTTCATGTTTTACTCTCAAAACGTAGTGTCTTGCTTTCTCAAAACAAAATAATTTTTCAACCCCCTTGCTGTGTTAACATTTTTGGCTTGCCTAGAAGATAGGAGAAAGGAGGAAGGGATTTTTATGTCATTAAAACTTCATTGGACAGGAAATTACTGCCATGAAATCTCCAAATTATTCTCATATTCTCCTATCTCTTTGCAAGCAAGTGCATAAAAAAAGGCTTGGAAATGAATGGAGTTTGTGTAGTGTACTGAGCTTTAGGTCCCATAAAGTTTTGTTTTATATATATAGATATTTTTTCTATTAAAACCACTTGATTGCATCTTTTGGTCCGATGACCTTGTCTAAGTACATGGTGTTACTCCCACTTGCGATAAGTGCTCTCCAAATTTAGAGGATCAATGCCAGTTGGTCTTTACCCGAAGAACTTCGTTGATTGCCTTTGACCAAGATCTTAAAAAGCTGACTTGAGATTCCTTCAAGCGTCATTGCATTGCTTCCTTCGAGCTCGTCTTCATTTTTTTTTTCTTCTCTTCATGGTATTGTTTTTATATTTATAGAGTATTTTTTTGGGTTTGCTGGGGTTAACCAATATGGCTACGATGTAAAGTGGCGTCTTAATTCTTTTTTGATTCTGCCCTGTGAGCTACTACTAAAATAATCTGGTTTGCATGGCGCTTTTAGTATACATTATTTGTGGGTATCATGAAATTTTCAGCCTACTTTTGAGACTTCCTAAATTGTGGCTTCATAATCAACTGATTGGTTTGCCTGCTTTAGGTCTTTTGAGTCTAGTTGGATTTGCAAAACCATTTTGAAAATATTGACAAACTATTTATAGCATATTATGGTTTGCCTGCTTTAGGTCTTTTGAGTCTAGTTGGATTTACAAAGAAAGTGTATGAAATTTGTATGGTATAATGTGATAGTTGTGTGTCAATTCATTTCAATTCAGAAGAAGATTCATTAAACTGGTTTATTATTTCAATAGTGGTAGTCGCATTATTTTGTGCAGTTTATTTTTGTTTGCTTGTTTTCCTATTTAATTAGAAAAGGGTTTTTGAACTGGTCTCAGTAGCAGGAATATCTCATCCAAATGAGATCTCATTGAGAGAATACCCAAATCAGGGTTGGGGTCTTTTATTGTGACCTCAAAATTACTCTGCTGTTTTCAAGTTTACTTGGGTGGTGTTTGAAAATTGCTTTTTTTAGCAGTTTTTTGTTGGTATTTTTTGTGTTCTTTATTGAAGTTGCAAATTTTTTGGAACACTATTAGGTTCAAATGTGAAAGATGCTTTAAAAAAATTAGAAGACCTACAAATGAAAACTAAAGTAGTAGATTTTATTTTAGTGGTGTTATTTTGAATTTTTTTTGTTTCTCTTAGATTCAAGGGCACCTTAAAAAATTGTTTGTTTGTATGTTTCATCTAAAAAAATTTCGTTAGAAATAACTAAATGAAAATAAATGTGATAATTTTAGCCTATTCGTAATAGAGCCCAAGCTGGTCAGCAAATCTCTCTGCTTTGTTGTAGTTGAGCCGGAGTGGAGTGGTGGGGTATTGGGGGAAAATGGTTTTGTTTAGACTCTAAGAGCATCAACTAAACCGAATTTATGATTGATCTAAAAGTTAAGTAACTTCTAAAATTGTAGATTCTATTATTTTGCTACTTGTTTTAGGGGTAAATTTGTTGAAGCTCTTTTGAAGTACAAGAAAAAATGTTTATTACCTGTGAAACTAGCTTTGCTGTCCAAGGTTTGTCATCAAATTTAAATAGAAGGAACCAAAATCAAAGGAAGGGCAATATAATTTGCAATTTCTACCTATATTTCAGTCAGGTCATGTTTGTTTGGGTGGATATGAGTTTGGGATTGGATTAATAGTCTAATAAAATTATTAATCCGATGTTTGGTTAAACAATTGAAGTAGGGATTAATTATTTTAAACTTGACTATTAGTTAAGATAGGATACATAATCTAACGGGTCGTAGGATTATTAGTCATGAGAATGTTAATCCAGTCCGTTCAAACAAACATGGTCTAACTGGGAAAATGATAAATGTAAGAAGTATACTGTAACTTTATTAAAGTTGCACATATATAAGTTAACACGATATTATATTAGTAATTTATATGACTTTTTAAAAGTACAAACAATTTTCAGAGTGAATATTCAACACCAATGTTATCATAGGAATATAATCTAGTTCAATATAATGACATATGGTTGTTGATCACTTTATTATCTTATTTATTACATTGTTTCCCCCCCCTCTTATTTATTGATTATAAAAAATTAATAGGCAATTCAAAAGAGTAGTGCTATTTGCGCCTAATTTTTTTCTTAGCACCCTTGAAAAATTCTATTTCTATGTATTTACTTATCTCAGTACACACACTTAATGAAATTTTATTAACAATTATATCTTAAAGTAAAATGATCATAATGGACATCAAAATCCTAGTCAACTAATCTTATCTCTTCTTTCCTCTCTCCCTCTCTCTTTCTACCATCAACAACAACAAACAAACTCACAAACTTTCTTGTTTTCTTCCACTCTTTATAATCCACAACAGAGAGGAAGATGATCTTAAATGGTTCGTCGTGAGCAACAATCAGTCAGTCTCGTCTTCCTCATCATCATCGCCTCTGCCGCTGTTGCCGCAAAACCGCCAACTTTCTGTATACAAGTCTAATATTTGATTTACATCTAATGCACGTGCAAAGGAACTTTATTATTATAAAATAATTGAAAAGCAGTTGCAAGTTTCCTAGAGGCTAGAGGACAAATTACTAGATAGTAATCAAGACACTATAAACTTTTACGTGCTGCAACTATATCCGAATGTTTTCAAATATGTACAAGACAGACGATGGGTAACTTAATTAACCTCCAGAGTACAAGCCAAAAAGTTATTTCAGTTGAAACCAAACTTACATCTTTGGTGCCATTTGCACAATGTGTATCCGGATCCGCATCAGTTTTTGGCACATTATTTTGAACATCTGTAGTCTCCAAAACTTGATTGTGATGATTTTGCTCAATGGCATGATTCTGATCTGCATTAGTCGATTCTCCAACACCATGTATGACATCACCTGTTGTGATGAAAGTGTGTATAATATTTGAGTTAAGGGTTATAATTAAAATATGTGGTGTATGGAATAAGACAAATAATACTTAATTAAATGCATAAATGTGTATATTGAGAAATGATGTGCATTATTTAACTGGCTATGCATGGTGGTCGTTGCGGGGATAGTACCTTATCGTCTCTTCACTCTGTATGTATTGCTTTTGGTTTGTTGTGCTGTGATGAGTTCTGATAATGAAAGGAGTCGTGTGAGAGAGAGAGAGATGACGGTGTCTCTGTGGGTTATTGATTTTGGCATTGTTTAAGTGGCTATGCGTTATTTATGTTGAAATTTGAAACGTTTGATTGTGAGGATTGATAATGGATTATTGCTACTGGGCATTGAAAATTTTGAATTGAATCTTATATCATGATTATCATCTCCTTCTGTGCAATTCAATAGAAAAGTTAGAAGTTATGTATATTTGCTATTTTTTTGGTTCGAGGAAGGGCGAGCGGTAGCTGGAATGAGGGCGGAGGGCGCCGAAGGATGTCATCGACGATGAAGAGTTGTCGACGAGCGGAGGGGTTGCCAGAAGAAGAAGAGTTGGGGATACTATATCCGAATGTTTTCAAATATGTACAAGACAGACGATGGGTAACTTAATTAACCTCCAGAGTACAAGCCAAAAAGTTATTTCAGTTGAAACCAAACTTACATCTTTGGTGCCATTTGCACAACGTGTATCCGGATCCGCATCAGTTTTTGGCACATTATTTTGAACATCTGTAGTCTCCAAAACTTGATTGTGATGATTTTGCTCAATGGCATGATTCTGATCTGCATTAGTCGATTCTCCAACACCATGTATGACATCACCTGTTGTGATGAAAGTGTGTATAATATTTGAGTTAAGGGTTATAATTAAAATTTGTGGTGTATGGAATAAGACAAATAATACTTAATTAAATGCATAAATGTGTACATTAAGAAATGATGTGCATTATTTAAGTGGCTATGCGTGGTGGTCGTTGCGGGGATAGTACGTTATCGTCTCTTCACTCTGTATGTATTGCTTTTGGTTTGTTGTGCTGTGATGAGTTCTGATAATGAAAGGAGTCGTGTGAGAGAGAGAGATGACGGTGTCTCTGTCGGTTATTGATTTTGGCATTGTTTAAGTGGCTATGCGTTATGTTGAAATTTGAAACGTTTGATTGTGAGGATTGATAATGGATTATTGCCACTGGGCATTGAAAATTTTGAATTGAATCTTATATCATGATTATCATCTCCTTCTGTGCAATTCAATAGAAAAGTTAGAAGTTATGTATATTTGCTATTTTTTTGGTTCAAGGAAGGGCGAGCGGTAGCGGGAATGAGGGTGGAGGGCGCCGAAGGATGTCATCGACGATGAAGAGTTGTCGACGAGCAGAGGGGTTGCCAGAAGAAGAAGAGTTGGGGATCTAAAGAACATGGATATAGTTGGTATTAAGGTGGGGGTTTAAAGAGAAGATGTGAGAGAGATTCAATTAGGTAAGTGGGGGTTTAAAGAAGTGACAGATTCAAAATAAAAAGGTAAGGACATTTAGCGGCTCTTATTCAAAATTTATGAATGAGAAAATATCAAGGAGTTGTCAAGTAATGAGACTTCATTTATTAGTAAATCAAAACGATCTTAAATTTTTTTTTTTTAAAAAAAACATAATTACCAATTTGAATTAATTCACTTGTTTAGTTATTTAAACTGGCCTAGTTATTCTTATGAATTGTTTGGTAGAATGTAAGTGATGGTTAGAATGGGATAAGCATGAATTATGTGCAAGCGGGTCAAAATTTAATGGTTGGGGAATGTGTATAATATAATAAAAATAAAAATTAAGAGTACTCATAATTTAAAAAACAATTTCGGTAATATTATAATAAAAAAATGTTTTTAATTTAAGATTTCTAATATTAAGATTTTATAAGATAAAAAACATGTAATATTTTCATAATAGTTGGGGTTTCTCAACATTTTCACAGAAAAATTTTAGTTCTTTACAGAAAAATTTATCTGTGACGAGCTAAAATTTCTCTGTGACAAGTTGAAATTTCTTTAATAATATTATTGAGAGACTTTTAACTATTAAGAAAAAATATATTAGACCTTTCTTACTACCCAATGTTGGAGAGTAATGTTTCATTAATTTTCTCTAAAAAAAATTTATAAACAAACTGATGTAATTAAGCATAGCTAGCAATGTTTTTTCAAATTCGATGGACTTCCAGTCTTACCATCCGTAATTGTTTGAAGATGAAGAAGGGGTTGTTGGAGGTTGGTTGTGGGGGTGCTCTTTAGTTAATAAAGCTGAATCTACTCTTTCATTTGTATATTTTTCTTTAGGATAGTTGGGTGTGGGTGGGGGTGTGGGGAATACCAAGCATAGTCAAATTGGCTGTGTGAGTTGCCACCATTATTTGACTCTTCCTGCTTTCCTATTTTTCATTTGGAAGCCACCTCAATGACTTGGCTTCTCTCTCTTTCTCTCTCTCTCTCTCTCTCTCAAAATATCAATTTTTTTTGCTCCTTCTCTATAAAATGCAATATCACTTTCTCTAAATAAAATAATAAAAGGGATATCTACGGGTTGATTCTATTGATCAAATTTTTTTACTTATAATACTCTTTTTTTCACCCATCAATATCCTTAAAATGCTCCCTCCTTACCTTCTTCATTTCTATTATCAACACTATCATGACTTCCTCTCTACCCTTGCAAACGATCACCAACGACGACCACCTTTGGCAGATGTCTCCAATTGCTAACAACCACCTTTGACCTTGGTGACATTTTTTTCTAGTAATTTTTTAACAATTTTGACCCATTTTTCAACAAAAACGTCCATCCTACCATGTCATTACTCCTACCACTTCCTCAGATCTGGTAGTGATAAGAAAAATTTTAAGAGAAGGAAAACGAGAATGAAAATTTAGCACTAATAATCAGTATTAAAAATAAGTGAAAATAATTTTTTTTTGTATTTTTAAAAATGTTGAAAATTTTAAAATTAATTATATATTTTTTAAAACAAAAACAATATAATAAATAAGATTTTATTTTAAAAAAATATAAACAAACAAAGAAAACAAAAACGTTAACATCTTAAAAAATTCATCTCATTTTTTCTCTTTAAAAACTTATCCCGGAGATAACTCTCTTTTTTAGTGGAGTTGACGTCATAAATTTATTTTTTAAGGCCATTGATATTTTAATTTTAATTTAATTTTTTTTGGGACCAAACGAACGCCACCCAAAACACCACAATACACTTCTATTGAATTCTAAATTGGGTTTATTCTTTGAACAATGATGTAGATTTGGGGGTCATAATCACAATACGGCACCACGTGGTGGATATTTTCTACATTTTGCATGAAGGGGTGTAAATCCGGCCCAGGAACAGTTGGGCTGCAGCCGAAAATTCGGCTGGCCCAATCTGAAAATTTCAAGGGGCGCTGGGTCTTAGGGTCTAGGCTAGGCCTTTGGGCTTGGACTTGTTGTCCGGCCTGCGTGGAGTCTAAATCCATTTTTTAAATTTTTTTTTGAATACGGTGGACAAAAAAATTATTGTATGTAAAATAATAATTTTTATAAATGAAATGAAATACTATAAATTTATATTATCTCATTAGGGAAATTATGGTACGGTAATTGTATTATTATAGGTCATCTACATCACAATTAGGCTAGCACCTATAAGTCTACCAATCATATGCATTATATTCCAACTCAAAATAAAAATAAAAATATTAAAAAATAACATATTCAAGAAAAATTATTAATTAATCATTAGAGGAGTTGGGCAATCCGTTGGACAATTAATCCAGATTGCCCATTGTGATCTCACACTTCTTTGTCATGGGAAAGCCTCGAGAGAATGTTAGAATTGTTTCCAAAACCTTCAAGGAGCAAGTTGATTGCTTGATGATTTTGGGTACAATTTAGACAAAGTTCAATAAATGCAATGAACAACAAACACGCCTCCCTTCTATCATGGAGTGAACTCAAATAGAGAGGTAGAAACGCTTCAAGATTTGTCGAAACATCATGAATTAATGTAGGACAACCCTTGACACAATAGATTCGGTATAGTGTCCAGTTGAACCCCGAGCAATATAACTCATTTTCTTTATGTGGGTTGATTCATTTTAAGCCAAATTCGTTAGTCTTTTTCATCCTTTAACCCATTTAGTCCAAGGTGATTATTACATCCACTAATAGATTACGTCCACTAAGTGAGAAACATGTCAAACGGGAGGTGATTCTCAACATGAACAAGAGATTATGCTGTTGACAATAAACCTTCGTAGAGATTAAGCCATTAAGCATAGATCTCTAGTTCATGTTTTGGATAATCGTCAACCGATTGAAATAACTCTCAAATGAAAGAAATGAATGGCAAGTTGATTTATTAAAATGAAGTTCTTACACATGGAAGTTAGTTAAAGAAAGGCTAAGAACAATATTCAACAAGCTATGTATGCAAATTTATGAGACAACAATCAAACTAATCAAAGTATGAACTATTTAAATAACCTAGGAAAATCCTAAAATAGCCCTAAAACAGCCCTTAATGGGTGAAAAACAGTGGCTCAAAGTACATGAAAAGAGCCTAAAAAAGCTAAACAATAAAGAGAGAAAACAAAACTAGTAAGTAAGAACAAGGAGGGGTGGCTAACCCCTCCACTTTTGAAACCTTAAAGCATGATTTTTAGCCTCTTTTTAACTCTGAAAAATAATTTAGAAAGCAAAGGAAATGGTGTAAAAGCAATGGTTTGAGCTATAAGTAAAGGTGTAAGGAAGAGTGTTAACTCTCTTTACCCTTTTGGTAGCTCTCCAAACCCAAGCTTAAACACTTGGAAGAGAATCAAAACAAAACAACACAAAACTACAAGAACTAGATAGCAATATATAGAACAAGAAGTAAAAGAGAGGATGACAAGATTATACCTCTCAAAGAAGTGAGCTTTTGCTTATGAATCAAACTAAGTCCCAACACACTCTCAACCTTGAATTATAGTGTTCAAGGCTCAACCAAGGTCTCTAGGCTAAGGTGTGAAGGTGTATATGATGTATGAATATAGGTTCAAGGTGATAGGCTTGTTCAAAGGGTTGCTTGCACAAGAAGAAGGAACTCTCAAGAAGGTGTAGAGGCTTTTTAGAAATTCTTCAACCCTCAAAACAGAGATACAACTTCGTTTTTATAGAATTTGAGCACAAAAGATCATAAATATCTTCAAAAACAGACAGCTGGCAGGCCAACGCCCAGAACAGTGCGTATCGCCATCGAGGTACGGCCGACCTTCAATAGCCACAGCTGGCCCTCAATGAGGCACGGCCGGGCCTCAATGTGTTCCCCTGTTTTCCTGCTTCAGACTCAGCACAGGGTGGCACAATGTGTAAAAGTGGATTTCTTGGATGTAATCAGTGGGAATATGGGAGGTTTGGTATTGTTTTGAAGCTTAAACATACCCATTTCATTGAGACCTCGAACTACGCACAACACCACTTTCATCATCGAGTATACCGGGCAAAGCGGTCGAGCCTTGCGGGCGGTCAAAAATAGGGTGTCTACAGCTGGAAAGCTGAGAACAGGAGAAGCTGGAACGGCGCGCGGTTGAGGTTCAAGGGAGTCAGAGTCAGTTATCTTTAACGTGGACTCGTTGAGGTCTGGAAAGAGAGGTCTGGAAAGAGAATGAGAGAACCGCAGGAAAAGGCCATGTTAGAGGAAAGTGATACAAAAGAAAGGCGTTGCAGAGTGGTGGCAGAGAGAGTTTGTAACTTTTTTGCTCTGCCACTCTTACAGGCCTTGGTGTAAGTAGAGAACGAGGAAGGAGAAGAACACAAGGAAGGTGAAGAAGCCAAGGCAATCGTTGAAAAAATCGAGGGTTTAGCTCTGTCGGTTAGGTGACGTATTTGTTGAAATTGCATGCCAAACACGATGCTTGAAGAAGATGAAGGAAAAGAGAGAGACAAAAATAGGAAAGGGAAGAGAGACATGTATATATATGTATGTCTTTGTATGCATATATCTGTTTGTATATACTTTGTATGTACATGTATATTGATGTATATGTATACTTATGTTGTGCATATTGATGCCCTTGTACATCATTTAAACCTGGTTAAAATCTTCCCCTTCTCCGTATGAGATACGATTAGGTACGCTTGTTGGTTACACCACCTTTGCTCTTTTTATGTGAAACGTGTTCGGATTAGATATTTACACGGTTAAAACCTTTCCCCTCTCCATATGAGATACGGTTAGGTACGCTGGTTTGTTACACCACTTTTGCTCCTTTCATATGAAACATGTTAGGATTATATGTTTTTCCGATTAAAACCTTTCCCCTCTTCGTATGAGATACAGTTAGGTACGCATATTGGTCACACCACCTTTGCTCCTTTCATGTGAAACGTGTTAGGATTAGATGTTTACCCGGTTAAAACCTTCCCCATCTCCGTATGAGATACGATTAGGTAAGCCTGTTGGTCGCACCACTTTTGCTTCTTTCACGTAAAACGTGTTAGAAGTAGATGTTTACCTGGTTAAAACCTTCCCCTTCTTCGTATGAGATACGGTTAGGTACTCCTGTTGGTTACACCACCTTTGCTCATTTCACGTGAAACGTGTTCGGATTAGATGTTTACACGGTTAAAACCTTCCCCCTCTCCATATGAGATACGATTAGGTACGCCTGTTGGTTACACCACCTTTGTTTCTTTCACGTGAAACGTGTTAGGATTATATGTTTATCCAGTTAAAACCTTCTCCCTCTCCGTATGAGATACGGTTAGGTACGCTTGTTTGTCACACCACCTTAGCTCCTTTCACGTGAAACGTGTTAGGATTAGATGTTTACCCAGTTAAAACCTTTCCACTCTCTGTATGAGATACAATTAGGTACGCTTGTTGGTCACACCACCTTTGGTCCTTTCACGTGAAATGTGTTAGGATTAGATGTTTACCGGGTTAAAACTTTCCCCCTCTCCATATGAGATATGGTTAGGTACGTTTGTCACGACCCAAACCTGCCCCTATTGGTTTAGCATTGTAACCAGCCAGTAATCCTAAGATTACCGAAGGCCTCTGAGACAGATTAACATAATATTATAGGCTAGCAAAAGCAAATAATAGATATACAATGTCCATTGAGCTGTTCAAACTTATACGAGGTAGAAAAATTTTAAACTTTTGATATATATATCTACACATCATTCTCACGTCATCATATATATATACAGATTAGACAAAAATGTACTTAGCCCTATTTGCAAAATAACAAAGACTTGTTTAACTAAATAAGAAAACAAAACTTGAACTTAATCACATAGCCATAATCACTTGACATATTCGAAACTTCCACGGGAGGCACATAGGTTGGCTGACAAAAACAGATTCTAGGTAGACACCTCTAAGCCTGGTCACATGCTTGATCACCTACATATATTAATAATACAGTGAGCTGGAGCTTAGTGAATAATAACAAAGTAAAGGGTTTCAAAGAATGATGTCCATCATAGAGTCAGAAATCAGAGTTTATATCAAAAATGGATTCTTATCAGAAACAAAGTCTTATGTATATTCAAATTTCAATCAGAAATAGAAACAGATTCATATTCATATTCTTATTCAAATCATATTCAGAAATCAGAGTTCATGCTTAATTTTACATACTACATCCGTTAGCGCTAACAGATCACATACATAGTATCACAGATCATACTTGTCAGTTCCATAAAGGAACCTCCATCGGGTACGGATAACTTTTTCAGTTCCATAAAGGAACCTTCGGACCGGGAACGGGTAACTTGTCAGTTTCATAAAGGAACCTCCAGCCAGGTGCAGATTACTTGTCAGTTCCATAAGGAACCTCTGGTCCGGGTACAGATATCATACTTGAATCATAGCATAAATGCCATAAACATTTGTCAGAGTTAGACAATCATTCATAGTATAAAACATGGCATTTCATAGAACAAATCTTATTCCATATACAGAAAATAATTTAACTTGAACATAATTTTACTAAGTTATTACTCACAGATGGCTGCAGAGCAAATCAGACAGATTGGACAGATCAGATAAATCAGGCAGACAATAGCGCGTGACCTACACAAGCACATAACATATACCCATTGAAATACAATATCAATTCCTTAATCAAACTTGACTTTTCTTGTCTTTTTCTGTTTAAGTAGTCCGAAATTCCACTACGCTTATTCTTCTTTAGTCAAAGGAATCAGGTTCTCATCTCACATATTCTTTCATTACTAAATCATTCCTTTCTGAATAGCCAATTTGTTACTTGGCTTCTTAACCAATTACCACTAAGTTAATGGCTTATTCTTTAATCAACTAATTAATGTTGATTGTTAGCTTCTTATTCTTTATTGAGCCATAAATCATGTCTAGAATTCTTGGGAAGAGATGAGAATAAAAAATATGAGCTAAATGTAATTTTTCATAATATGCTGAAAATCATTGTTTGCTCGAGCGAACTTTTAGTCGCTTGAGCAGTCTGTAAAAGACTACAAAAGTACTGGAAGTCTTCAATGTGCGCTCGAGCGGTATCTAGTCCGCTCGAGTGGTCTGTAAAATTCCAGAATTCTAAATTTCTCAAAAGTAGCTTTCCAGTGCATTTTCAATTTTTAAACCCATACTAATCTTGATCAAAACTTTGAAAATACTTTAGAAAACATAAACACTTATTTATTTATAAATTATTTGCTCAAAATCTTGAAACACAATATTTAAATCAAAACCCATGAACTCATGATTCTAAAAGCCCTTTTCAAAATTAAATGCACAATAAAATTGCATATAATTTATGGAGCTTGATTTAATTACCACTTCTAAAATCAAATCCAAAATAATTAATTTCTAATTAAACTTCATAAATTTGATCTTAGCTCCAATTCTTCATTTTCTTGTCAACTTTCTTAGCAAACATTGCACATATGTAATTCAAATAAAACTAACTAATTAAATAGATTCCACAACATGTTTACATTAAATAAAACTCTTAAATTACATTACATGCATGGATTCAAATTTAAAATTAAAATAATTCCTATCTTTCATAATAAAAATCAAAACCTTGTCTAACTTTAGGATTAACCCCAAATTTCTATAACTTGATTTTTTTATTATAAAATTCTTCATTCTCTTCAAAATATGAAATTGCATGGCTCAATTCTTAAAAACTTCATTGTACATATAATTATTTCCATATTGATTAACCTTAACCATGTTCATGAATTAATTCTTTAATTTCTCTAAATTACATGCATGTAACAATAAGATTCAAATTCATATATGATATTCAAAATCAAACCCAAAATAATTAATTTCTAAGTTAATTTCCATAATCATGAACTTAGCTCATTTTCAAACTCTTTTCTATCTTCCTTCAAGACATGAAATTAAAATTATAAATTTCTTAGATAATCATTTGCATGTATGAAATTAAGATCAAAACTAACTATTTTATATTTTTAAATCATTATTTCACTTCTTGAATTGTTCTAATTTAGATTTTTATTACTTTTCTTCATATCAAACCTAATGTAAGCTCATAAACCTTTAAAACATGGATTAAAGTCTAAAACCTTGAAATTCCAACATGCATGTAAGGATGAGTTTTGACTTTATGAAGAATAAAAAAAATCACACTCAACTAATTAATTTCCAAATTTATTTCTATAATCTTACACTTAACTTAATTTTTCTTCATTTCTCCAATTACCTTTTGATTTCAGCTTCTGGATGATTTATCTACAAGATTTGAGTTTTAATTTCTTACCTAAAATCTTCAATTAAAGAATTCTTGACAAAATCTTGATCTCCTCTTCAATCCTTCACTTTCCCAAGCTTTTTCCTTAGCCTTTCTTTACCATTTCCAGCACATGAGTTCTAAGCTTTGAACTCTCTCTCTCTCTCTCTCTCTCTCTCTACAATGCCTCAATTGTTAAACCCACTCTTTTTTTAAAATGCTCTCGGCAGAAAGATAAGCCATATACACACCCAGTTCTCTCTCTGTACCTGAATTCTCCAACATGCACATAGCAAGATAGACCCCTATTCTTTTGACTTTGAAAAGTTTCTCACCAATGTGATATACACTCTCAGCACAATGCACAATACACACACCTCATTCTTCCATTACACACCACGTGTGCACATACTAGCACATTTCATTAAGGCTCCAGCACATCACTCATATGCGCACACACACACAACAGATTTCTCAATACACCCATACTCGTAAACACTCTCAATTCTAGACTCTTCTATAATTCAATTTATATTTTTGCTTAATTTAATTGAGCAACACTTAATTTTAATAAATCTTGATTAACACATAATTAAATTAATCATACCTATTCACAAATCCCACATAATTTAATTGGTCTAATTTGACTTCCATTAAGGCCCAATTAATTTTATTTAATTTATCATTCTGAATCAGATTTTAAATCAAACCCCCAAAAGGCTCCAAATATCAAATTAAACTTATTGAGCTCATCAATTTTGGTTTCTCAAACCTTTAAGGCCTTCAATTTCAGATCAAACTCAAAATCACCATCTATAAATTACATATTCAATTGAGCACCTCATAAATAAATTTAATTCATAATAATATTAGTTCTCAATCCTCACAACTTAATTAACTTCAATTCGGATCCAATTGATCAAACCTTAATTTTACTAAACTGAATCGAATATTTAATTACACTCTCATATGGTCCAATACTTGAAATTAAACTGATTTAACTTATCAATTTCACATCCTTAGGCTATTTGGACGTTCAATTTCTAATTCTAAAAGAAATCCTTAATAAAATCATTTATGAATCAAACTCAATAATTCTCATAAATCCCAAATTAAATCAGAATAACAAGCAATTAAAATTCAAATGTCCTTAATTAATTAAGTGCTAATCATTGTACGTGGTGGGATCGTCACAACGCCAGTTGGTTAACACCGCCTTTGCTCTTTTCACGTAAAACATGTTAGCATTAGATGTTTACCCGGTTAAAACCTTTGTCACGACCCAAACCCGCCCTTATAGGTTTAGCATCATAACCGGCCAGTAATCCTGGGATTACCGAAGGCCTCTGAAACAAATTAACATAATATTAGGCGCTAGCAGAAGCAAATAACAAATATACAACGTCCATTGAGCTGTGCAGACTTATATGAGACAATTTTTTTTTTAAAACTTTTTATATACATATATACACATCATCCTTACGTCATTATATATATACAGATTAGACAAAAAGGGACTTAGCCCTATTTACAAAATACACAAGACTTGTTTAACGAAACAAGAAAACAAAACTTAAACTTTAAATCACATAGCCCTAGTCACTTGACATATCTGGAACATCCATGGGAGACACATAGGTTGGCTGAAAAAATAGATTACAGGCAGATGCCTCTAAGCCTGGTCACGCGCCTGATCACCTATATACATAAATAATACAATGAGCTAGAGCCCAGTGAATAATAACAGAGTAAAGGGTTTTAATGAATGATGTCCATACTAGATTCAGAAATCATAATTGAGATTCATAAACAGATTCATATTCATATTCTTGTTCAAATCAAATACAGAAATCAAAGTTCATGCTTAATCATACGTGGTACATCCATTAGCGCTAACAGAACAGATGCAGAACATATGGTGATTATGAATAACCAGTTCCATAAAGGAACCTTCGGATCCAGGTAATAGAGAATAAACATGCTGAGCTCTATGATGGAACCTCCGGTACGAGTAACTAATGACAGACATAATAAGTCCCATAATGGGACCTTCGATACCGGGTAACAGCTAGCAGATATCACATGATGCTAAGGATGCCACGAATACATGTCAGAAATTGGACAATCATTCATTGTACAGAACATAGCATTTCAGAAAACAAATCTTATTTCATTATACAGAAAATAAATAAAGTTAAACATAACTTTACTGTGTTATTACTCACAGTGTTCTGGTGCTTGATTCGTCCCTACGTTTGACCCTACATAATTCATAACACATTGGGTCATATTACAATTCGTTCCATTCTTTAAATTGTTTAACATTCTTAGGCTCCTTTCATGTTCTTTAATTCATCTACAATGTTTAATGCATGCCTAAGAGTGCTTTGAAATGAAAGAGAATGGAAAATGAAGCATAAAACATCTTTTCAAAATTTCTGAAACAGAGCCCTCCGCTTGAGCGGACCCCTTTGGTTTGCAAAAGTACTGGTTGCTTGCAAATTACGCTCGAGCGAGACTTTTGATGCTCGAGCGAAGAGTCTAGTAAAATAGGGTACGCTCGAGCGAGACTCTCCACACTCGAGCAGACATGTCGAATTTTGGATTTTTCTAGATTATGTTTGAGCTTCAAAACTTGGTTCCAACCAATGTAATTAATATCATAAGACTCATATTTCCACCATATAACTTTTAACATGAATATAAGGGCCAATTTTACAAGATTTGAATCTCAAATTTACATAAATCCATCTCATAAACTCGAATCATATCAAACTCACTTCATAACTTTAAAGCTCATGCAAATTAATTTCCATATCATTTTGAAATATACATGCATGTGAAATATAGGCTTCATTTTCAACTTAAACAGTACAATTGATGATCAACTTCATGAAATTCAACATTATCATGCTTGCGTGTGCCAAATAACCTTCAATTCATTATAAAATGCATGTTTGTAATCAAATATGCAAACTTAAGACAATCCCTTACATGCATGTACACACAAACTTCAAATTCATCAAATTCAACTCAATTCATGTTCTTTGTATCAAGCCTAACTCCAAGCTCACAACTTCTAAAACTTGAATTGAGCTCTCAAAATAATTTCAAGACTTGGGTTCATACATGGCCTATCTAAAAATATACAATTCTTAAATAATCAAGAAAATATGATCAATTTTAAATCATTTACATCAAAACTCCTTTAATTTAAAAATTGAACTCATTTATTGATAAATTCATAATTTTCCAAAGCATAGTTCTTATTTTCATCAAAACATGAAATCAATTCCAAGAAATCTATGATGCATGTAAATTTACATCTTATATATATCAAGGTTTCCAAACCCAAGCTCAATCGAAGAATTATAATTATTTCTATATTGATTAACCTTAACCATGTTCATGAATTAATTCCTTAATTTCTCCAAATTACATGCATATAAAAATAAGGCTCAAATTCCTGTAAGATATTCAAAATCAAACCCCAAATAATTAATTTCTAAGTTAATTTTCGTAATCATGAACATAACTCCAACTTCTCATTTTCTTTTTTAATTATGTAAAATTGATTTCAAGCTCTTTCTATTTTCCTTCAAAACATGAAATTAAAGTCATAAACTCCTTAGAAAATCATTTGCATGCATGAAACATTTATCAAAATCCAACCAATTCTACATAGTCAAGCTCAATCCATAATTAAAATCTTAAATTGCTCTAATTTAGATTTTTATTAATTTTTCTCATATCAAATCCAAATTCAAATTCAAATTCAAACAAACTACTTTCCAAACTTATTTCCTTAAATCATAAATGTTCCAAAATATGTTTAATTTGAGTTAAACTCTTAAATTACATTACATGCATGGGTTAGTGATTCAAAATCAAAACCTCATTTATCTTCAAGATTAATTCTAGATTTACATGAATTTTAATGTTTACAAAACTTTTCCTCATTCTCTTCAAAACATGAGTTGATTATCTCAAATTCTTCAAAATCCAAGACGAGAGTACTAAAACTTATAAATTTGCGCATAGATGTAACAATGAAACTTAATCTCATGCATGACTACAAAATCACACTCAAATTATTAATTTCTAAATTTACTATCCATGCTCATGAACCTAACTCAATTTCTTACAAAATCCATGAGATTGATTCGTAACTTTCTTAATTTCAAGTGTGATATGAAGATTCTACATAAACTAAGTATAATTTTCATACCGCAAGCTCTAATTTCAAAGATTATTGATGATTTCCCCTTGAGTCTTCTTCTTCCTTTACAATTTCCAGCACAACTTTGGGTTTCCTTCTTTAAAAGTTGAGCTCTCTTTTCTCTCTCTCACTCACAGTTTTCTCTCCCTCTCACTCGGTTGTTCTTGTTCCAGCCAAAAGCATAAACATAGATGATGTATAGCTCTAAGGCTTTAATACATAGCCTATCCTCTTCTTGATTTCATCTATTCCACTTTCTTTTTTTTATTATTATTAAAATGGTGGGACACTTGTCCACTTTAAATTAATCCATGTGGTGATGTATGTTAGGATTAGTTTAGCACACTAATTGTACATTAGCTCAATTAATTATAACTAATTGAAATTCCCACATAACTTAATTAGTCTAATTTGACTTCCATCAAGGCCCAATTAATTATATTTAATCTTTACTATTCTGAATCAAATTTTTTAATCAAACTCTCCAAAGGCTTTAAATATTAAATTAGACTTATTGTCATCATCAATTTTGATTTCCCAAATCATTAAGGCCTTCAATTTCGGCTTAAACTTCAAAATCTTCGTTAATAAATTATATAATCAATTGAACAACTCATAATTAAATTTAATTCATAATAATCTTAATTCCTAATTCGTATAACTTAATTAACTCCAATTCGGAGCCAATTGATAAAATCTCAATTTTATAGATCTAAATTGAATATTTAATTAAACTTCCCATATGGTTCGGTACTCGAAATTCAATTCATTATTTATACTTTCTTGAGCCATTTAGGCTTTCAATTTTTAATTCTAAAATAAATACTTAATAGAACCATAAATGAATCAATTTCCATAATTTTTGTAAATCCCAGATTAAATTGGAATAATTGGCAATTAAATTTCAAATATCCTTAATTAATTAAGTGCTAATCATTATATATGGGGGGGGGGTCGTTACAATCTTCCCCCTCTCCGTATGAGATACGGTTAGGTATGCCGGTTAGTTACATCACATTTGCTCCTTTCAAGTGAAACGTGTTACGATTAGATGTTTACCCGGTTAAAACCTTCCCCCTCTCCGTATGAGATACGGTTAGGTACACCTGTTGGTCACCCCACCTTTGTTTCTTTCATTTGAAACGTGTTTGGATTAGATGTTTAACCGGTTAAAACCTTCCCCCTTTCTCTATGAGATACGGTTAGGTACTCCTGTTGGTCACACCACCTTTGCTCCTTTCACGTGAAAAGTGTTAGGATTAAATATTTACCCGGTTAAAACCTTTCCCCTCTCTATATGAGATACGGTTAGGTACGCTTGTTGGTTACACCACTTTTGCTCATTTCACGTGAAACGTGTTCAGATTATATGTTTACACGATTAAAACCTTCCCTCTCTCTATATCAGATACGGTTAGGTACGTTGATTGGTCACACCACATTTGCTCCTTTCACGTGAAATGTGTTAGGTTAGATGTTTACCCGGTTACAACCTTTCCCCTCTTCGTATAAGATACGGTTAGGTATGCCTGTTGGTCAGACCACCTTTACTCCTTTCACATGAAATGTGTTAGGATTGGATGTTTACTCGATTAAAACCTTTTACCTCTCCGTTTGAGATATGATTAGGTACGCCTGTTGGTTACACCACCTTTACTCCTTTCACATGAAACGTATTCGGATTAGATGTTTACATGGTTAAAACCTTCCCCCTCTTCATATGAGATACGATTAGGTACGCCGGTTCGTTACACCACCTTTGCTCCTTTCATTTGAAACGTGCTAGGATTAGATGTTTACCCGGTTAAAACCTTCCCTATCTCCGTATGAGACATGGTTAGGTATGCCTGTTGGTCACACCACCTTTGCTTCTTTCATGTAAAACGTGTTAGGAGCAGATGTTTACCTGGTTAAAACTTTGCCCCTCTTCGTATGAGATACAGTTAGGTACGCCTATTGGTTACACCATCTTTGCTCCTTTCACGTGAAATGTGTTCGGATTAGATGTTTATACGGTTAAAACCTTCCCCCTCTCCATATGAGATACGGTTAAGTACGCATGTTGGTTACACCACCTTTGCTCCTTTCACGTGAAACGTGTTAGGATTAGATGTTTACCCAGTCAAAACCTTCCCCCTTTCCGTATGAGATACGGTTAGGTATGCCTGTTGGTCACACCACCTTTGCTCCTTTCCGTGAAACGTGTTAGGATTAGATGTTTTCACGGTTAAAACCTTCATTCTCTCTATATGTGATACAGTTAGGTCTGCCTGTTTGTTACACCACCTTTGCTCCTTTCATGTGAAACATGTTAGGATTAGATATTTACCTAATTAAAACCTTTCCCCTCTTCATACGAGATATGGTTAGGTACGCCTGTTGGTCACATCACCTTTGCTCCTTTCACGTGTAACGTGTTAGGATTAGATGGTTACTTGGTTAAAATTTTTTTGGATGATTATCATGTAATAGATAGTTGTATTTGTAGTTAACAAATATTTTTTTATGGTTATGATATAATAGATGATTATTTGGCGATATGTTTAATATATAAAATATTTTCAGTTTTAAATTTTTTAATTTAATGGATCGGTTAATAATGACATCAAAGTTGTTTCCATATTTGACTTTTCAAAAAATAGAAACTAATTTAAGAAAAATAAATATAAAAAAATTATTTCTGCCCTCCTAAAAGATAAAAAATTATATAAAAATAGTGAGTTTTTAATTTTTTTTTCACCAATTTAATTTTTTGTTTCTTAGAATTTTCTTTTTTTTTTTGAAAATAGATTATGAAAACCAAACCAAACAGAAATTTATAACGAAGAAAGTGCTAGAATTATTCATTAAAAGAAAGGCCATTACATTTCAAATAACATACAAGTTAACTAACACAAAATATATTGTATGATAACTTTGCCCTTGAAATGGACCATTTACAAAAGAAATATCTTTGATTGTCTGTGTTTGGAAAAAAATTTAAAATTCAGGATCAAAAGTATTACAATTAAAAAGTCAGAGACTAAAGTGACACAAGTAGAAACTACTAATGTAATTCGCCCAAGATTTAATTCCATGTCATATGTATACGTCTTGTGCGAAAAAAGAAATGGTGATACCACATCATCAGTATCACTATCCAATAACTTCTTAACATTTACCCTTCCATGTGTTTGTGGCATGCTAGTTATACTTGAAAAGTAGGGTTCACCCTCTAAACAAGAGATTTATTGTTAGTATAGTGATTTCAGTTTTGACCCTACCCTTGTTGTATCCCAGACTCGGGTTTCATGGTTTCATATTGTTGTTCACCTCGTGCTTCCATTGTATCTCCTTAAATTTGGGTGATTGGATTGTAGTGGTTGTGTTTGGAACAGGTTGGTTGCTTAGCTTTCAAACCTTTGTTGCCCAGAATTTTGCTTCTCCGCTTGAGCGGCACTTCTTGCACTCAAGCGGGCTTTGTAAACTCTCAGTACTTTCGTAGGTTTGCAAAACTATAGGGAGGGTGTATTCTACGCTCGAGCAGCGTTTCCTACGCTCGAGGAGGTGGACGCTCGAGCGGCCCTTCTTATGCTCAAGTGTTGGTCTATTGTTTGTAAAACTACTAGATGTGTGTGTTCTGCGCTTGAGCGTATCTTTTTGAGCTCGAGCGGTAATGCCCTTTTGTTTTGTGTCTTGATGCTCGAGCATCACTTCTTGCGCTCGAGCGGAACAATTTATTGTGTCTGATGCTCGAACATCACTTTTTGCTCTCAAGCGGACTGTGCATATATCAGCTTGTAATAGCCACATTTTACATCACTTTTTCAGCTCTTCCTCTCTCTAAAATATTTCAAAACCCTAGATCTAGAGTCTCTCTCTCTCTAAAACTCACATTCTCTCTACATTTTCACCTAGATCTGTTGGTTTCTCCAATCTGCTTACTTTGTTAAAAAGGTAGAGCATCTTAAGGGTTACATTTCTATCTGAATAGAGTTATGTTTGAGCATCTTTGAAGCTTCCTCTTTGCTTGCTCGGCTTCTAACTTCACGGTAGGGACTTTTTACACTCTTCTATCAATTTTAGCTTAGTTATTAGTTGATGTATACGAAATATTGGGATTTGAGGTGATTTTGAACAAACCTACGGTTTTGGTTTAAAATCAAATGAGGGGTGTAGACGTCCCCCGAACGCCCCGGGAGGGTTAGGCTCCCGTTCTGTTCATTTTGGGGTCACTACAGCTCGGACTCTTAAATGTCACGGTTCCTAATCTGAACCAAAGAGTCCAAATCCGGCAAATCGTTTTGAGAAACTGGTTTTTGAAAAAGTAGTGCCAAACATGGACTGCTTTGCCAGATACAGAGTCGCCACCTAAATATTTTATTTTGGGAAATTTAGGAAACCCTGACTCGGTGCCAAAAGGCCACGTGTCCGTCATCACCAAAGTTGCCTCGGCTCGGGAACTTGGGTACGTATAATTAAAGACTTAGTGTATTACTCATCAAATTGAATAGGAGTAAGAGAGAAGTGTACTGGACTTGTTGAACCTAGGTATATACACATAGAGTGAAAGGGAAAGACCTTGAGAAATAGAGCTCAAGAAGGAGAAAGAAGATAGAAGAAGAGGAAGTGAAAAGGCAACTTGAATTGTTCATAAATTTAACAACTTAAGGTGAGAATTTGCCTTTAATTTCATGAAATTGAGATGTCATGGTTATCATCCTTTGGACATTGAGTTGAAATATAAAGGATATCATGCATACTTATGAGTTTAGTAGTGTAAATTGATGATAGGAACTCATATGGACAAATAAAGAAGGAATTGTAGAAATTTAGCTCAAGACCAACATGCATGGCATGATTCATGATATTTTGTTTATAGACATATTTTCTTGCATGATTTTCATGAGTTCTACAAGTTTCAAAGAACTATCCTCATTGATGTTGGAATTGGAAGTTTAAAATGCTTTTATAATGTCTCGGAGTCTTTGAGCAACTAAATTGGAAGAATTAGCTCAAACTATGGACATGCATGATTTTATTTTTAATCATACACACCATTCTTGCATGAGTTTTCAAGATTGAAGGGACATTCCATGAGATTTGAGGATTTGGAGCACAAAAAAATGCAAGTTTAAAGAATTTTTATGTCAACTCAAATAACTTGATCATGGCATGGAAATTGAG